AGAAAATCATTATTATTTTTGGCTCACTCAGTACCAGAACAACGGTCCCAAGCAGTCCCAAGCTATTTCACTCACCCCTGCATGTTCTGCATGAATCCACACACCCCTGATGTTATCTGTCAAACTTTCATAGCGAATCAAAACAAACATAGTGTAGTAATAGAATTTCAACTAGAATAGGGTACGTTAATCGTTTGCTTGGGACCAATAGGCTACTAAAGTGGTGAGCCAATTTAAAATCGTTAGTTTCGTATTGATTGTTGGTATAATGCTCCCTCATTTTCCTGTTCTTGCTAAGAGTTGTTGAGTTCAGAACATACGAAACATTTTGAAGAAAACGTTGGATTTTCATTTTCCTTGTAACAAATAAATATGTGGGTACTATTACGTTACAATGTCGAAAAATATCCGTTTATTTTCAAAAATTCCATTTCTTAACATGCAAATTAAAGCCATTTTTACTTTTTTTATGATCCATCGGCAATATCAATTCTCTTTTACGTACGCGTCATTGTTTACGATGCTTAATAAATCTCAAAACTGGCACAACTCACAATTGACAAGCTCACGAGAATTTTACTATCAAAACAAATATCGTTTCAATGTTATTACGTTTTGTGCGAAAAGTGAAGCGAATAATCTTAAATTTTGAATTGCTCCAATTGGACCATCATGGAACCATCAGGCGGAACTTCGACAAATCAGTACGAAACCGAACTTTTTGTCAGTGCAAACCTCAACCTGAGCTGGGTTTTAAAAGCAAACGATCAAACTGACGTTTGTCCGAACTGTTGGAACTGAATAATAAACGAATTCGCTATTAATTTTAGCGAAGATTTATTGAAATACATTGCGTTTCCTTACGGACTTCAAAGTAACGATTTGAAGTTTTCTTTGTTGATGGATACCAATGGTTGCTTTGATTGCTAGCCACAATTCCAATATTTAGAGGGGAATTCCTATTTACGCAAGGATTTTTTATTGGTTTTGCTTTTTACGGATCCCTTGATACTTGGGCTTCGGTAATGCGGATACGATATGCGGTCAGCATCCTTATTCTTGGAGTTCTAGCGTCAAGGCCCAAGCGCGATGACGGCGGAAGCGGTCTACTTGTCGGATTGAAAACAAGTTAGATCCAAATCGACTTCGGTTAGGCATCTTGATGTTATTAGTGACAACTGTCAAACTTTACGTTTCCGTTCCGCTTCCGCCCACATTGCGTTTGGGCCTTCACGGTATTCGAAAAAACGAATAGTTGCAAAATCTCTATCCATGAATAACCATTCGTGACTGCAGGTAGTAAGTACGTGTTCATGCAGATATGAATTCTCACAATAATAATTACTGGTTATGATACGATTGTATAACGCAGGATAAGGCTTTTTCCTTGATACATCACAGCTATCGCCTCATCCGTGATTTTGGAAGGGGAATGACCGTCATAACCGTATTTATGATCGAAATGAGATGACGGTTAATTTATATGTCTGTTTATTTTTCCTCGGTGATGTTATGATGGTAACACATGGCAGATGTTAGTGATATTGCGAATGAGTGAGAAAAGCAAAACAACGATATCTCACGGTTGTTGTGTCATACTGGTGAGAAGTTTCACGGAGAGAGGGTTCTCAGTTGTTTTTATTGTTAACCGTAGGAATCTCTTTTGTCAATCTAAAGGCTGTCAGTACCGTGATGCAGCTCAGCACTGAACAAAACCTACTAAAGCTCTTAACATCATTTTGCGGAATGCTGCTGATGAAAAAAGTTAGAGGCAAATGAATGTAAATGAGTGCATGAAATGAATGTAAATGATTTTCCATGCCTGCCTGATTGTAAACTATCCCTGCTCTCATTGCATCCGGGTCTTCTTCTTCTTTCTTCTTATTCGCATTTCAAGCTTATTGCTTAGCGCATATTAGCTTATTGCGTGCTCTCAACTTAGTGTTCTAAATGCACTTCCACAGTTATTAATTGAGAGCTTTCGATGCCAATAACAATGCATGAATTTGTATATTGTGTGGCAAGCACAATGATACTCTATGCCCAGGGAAGTCGAGAAAATTTCCAACCCGAAAGATTCCCTCGACCGGACCGGGAATCGAACCCGCCGCCTCCGGCTTGGTAATACCGTGCCTTTACTGACTAGGCTATGAGGCCCCACATCCGGGTCCTCTATGGAATACCGGAAAATTACACCATGATCCGCCAATCACGCTAGGAGCTAAAACAGGAACAATAATAAACCCTGCTATAAAAAAGACCATCCCAAGTAACAATTTGGGTTTTATGAGGGTTCTGTAGATCATGATTTAGACTTGTAGAATACTATAAAACCTCGATAAAACTTTCAATGTAACTTGGGATCTGTACAAATGGGGCTCCCTTCTGGGTCCCCACTCACTTCTAGGTTCTCCAAATTATCAACTATGTAACTAGGGGAGCCACCTTCTGGGGGTTCCGGAGATGAGCTACCCGTGCAAAGTCTGAGATCAAATTGAAATCTAAATTTGATGTTGTGATTTCGCTGATAATGATTACACAGGTTGCTATCGTTTTGGTCGTATTTCTGCTATCAGTGAGAGCAAACTGAAAACTCAATTTGATATCCATTTTTCCTGTTGATAACAAAACAAGTATTCAATTTGATGTTATGCTAAGGCAATGAAAACAAACCAGCAACAACATATTTTTGAAGAGCAAACGTAAAGCAAAATTTAAACAAAATTTGGTATCAAATTTGTCAATTGCGTAAACTGAAATCAAATTATGATTTCAGTTTGATGTTGATATCAAAACTTGATTTCAATTTGCTGTCATTTTGATGCTGGACTTTGCTCGGGTAGCCAGCGGCTGAAAATCTCCTAAATAAAGGAAATCAATCAATCAACAAAATCAGTATTCAATTTAATGTTCTGACAAGATTGCAACAACGTTTTCAGCTGTTGATTTGCTGAAAAAAGACACCACTAAAAACAAAAAAATCATAAACAAATTAAGATGTAGATCAAAAGTACAGCAAAATGAAAACAAAATTTGAAATCATATTTATCGATCATAAACTGAAATCAAATTATGATAGAAGTGGAATCATTAGCTTCTCACTCCCTCAAGTATCATATGCAACTCATCTGTGTTATGAACGGTAACTGATCACTACTATGTGTTTTGTTTAATTATTGAGCTTGAGCTTGAGCTTGACTGCCAGATCAGCTGTAATTACACAGAGAACCAATAGACGATGCTTGGGACTAGCAATCATCCTCAATGTGTAAAAACTGGTGATCTTAAATTAGGCAATACCAGCGCCGGCCGCGCCCGAGCACAGGTCAAGAAAGGAATGGGAAGGATTGTGTTGACATGACACTCGCTTTGATGGAAGCCGAGAACACCTCTGCACTTCCACGAGTAATCACTGGGATGTTGGATAAGAGGGTTGGTTTTGCAGCAGGGTTCGTTTTGGTAAACGATAAGCTGAATTGATGTCCTAACAATCATATAACGCGAAGGAGCTTGGGACTAAACCCACGGTCTTCTGCTCAGTAAGCAAAAACGTTTGCCACTAGGCAGACGAGCCCCTTTTTAACCGAGTTGCTGTTATTACCATGTTGTCATATTAACAAATAAAACGATTGACGAATCTTGAATGTGGATGGGCCTGAGATTAGACTCATGATGTTCTGCTCAGTAAGCAAAAACGGTTGCTCTAAGGCCACCGAGCCCCTCATATCACATAATACCGTTGCTCAAATTTGTGTATCCATTCAAACCCGGAACCAACGACAACAACGAGTTTCGCAAAATACACGATACACAAGCGATTTAACCATAAATCTCTTTGATATGTAAGGACCTGGGACCGCGTTTTTCTGCTCAGTAAGCAGGCCACTGTAACCGACGATCTTTCAAATCCGAAAACTAAAAACTACGAAAAAGTACTTAGGTGTTCATTAAGTTCCACTTTCACGCGACGTTCAATGACAGGGTCCTATCCAGGATTACATCTGAAAAATCCAAATCTGGCCAACGCCCACCTAAACCTGTTCTAATCCACCTGAAATGACTAACGAATGGAAGACTTTGACTACCCAGCCATGCAATAGTCTCATTCCGTGCCTTATGGCAACTTGATGATTCTATTGCGCTCATCTTTTGGCACCACCCAGGGGAGACTTGTTCCTGTACCCAATGCTTAACTTATCTCCATTCCACTCAGCTACTCGCAATTTCTTGTGATATAGTGGGCGGAATATTATTATATGAGACAATTCAATGCAGACGTCTTTCCAAATTTGGCAGATCGACAGGTAATCGGTGAGTTACCACGATAGTTGCTATTCAACAACTCGACAACGTCCCATCGTCAACGCCTGCTATGAGAATTTCCCATTGCAGACGCCAACGAAATGACGTCATCGAGCTATCGATCAACTACCCTGGTTATCGCCTGGTACCTTATAGCACGATGCTAGGAGGCGAACCGGAAGAATCGATGAGCTACCTCTCCCACTACTATGTGTTTTTTTTAATTATTAAGGATTAACTAGTGTTAATCAATCTTTCTTCTTATCTTAAATAAAAGCTTAACGATGTAGATTGGATTCGACTCCGTCTCTTCCAACGGCTCATGCTAGACTAGCCTAGCTCTTTATTCTGAACTCTCATCTCGAGTCTCTTTTTGTATCTTGATTGATTACACTCTAAATCATTAATTACTCTGAACAGGGTAGATACTACAATCTGGTGTCGACTAGTTGGAGATTTTAGTTGATACAATCGATATTTTTAAAAATTGGGAGAGCAATGATCACGACTCATTTACTTCGGAAAATTCGTGATACAGTGTTGGCCCCGTATCTTGAGAAAGTGGAGTTAATAGGATCAATAATCAAACGCAGTTTTGATCAAGCATTTGTGCTGAATATTATAAATTCTGCTCAAATTACAGCGAACAGAATTGTAGTCACATTCTAATTTATTCCCCCTCTCTCCCATTTTTTCAGGTCAGCCTCGATCTAGCCATTCTGCTGCAGGTGTACATCTATCGGAAGAATCCACCGCGTAGCACCCATCGCGGCGACTAGCAGTTTGCCCCTCAGAATATTCAGAACGGCACCAACCATAGCAGTAACAACAATAACAATAACAACCTTAACCATCACACCAACACCGGTATTACGAAAATCAACAGCTACACCCAAACGGTTCCAATCCCCACCCAGCGGATTTTGGGCAATGCCAAAATCAACCGTTCCTCAGGCCCATCAGCCGTGATGGCCTACTCGTCTTCCCCGGCGGATTCGTCCTTCTACAGTTCCATGATGCAAACCGACGGTTCGCTATCGCTGAAGTCCACGATGACACCGCATCGCCATAAAGTAGGTTCCCGCTACCAACATTCGAAGTCGCACTCGATATCCGGCTCGAGGGAAGCCACACCGGTGCGGATGGTTGCGAGCACGACCAGGCGCGCCAATTCGGAGAGGTTTGACCGACAGAAGACTGCTTCGCTGCCTTTGCCCAAGCGAAGACAGCTCAGTTTGAGTGCCAATTACTCCGGCGGCGGAGATCCTGCGGTGGATGACGAGATTGTTGAACGAGAGCAAGAGACTATTGTGGGCTCGGCGCAGCGGAGAGGGCGGGGAAATGTTCTCAACGAGGACGTGTACAATTTGAGTGTTGCGGGGGACAACTGTTCGTTTGTAACAATCACCGGGAATGCTTTTAGCAATCGTCGAGATTCCAATTGTACGTTAAATAGCAATAGCTACAAGGAGCAGTACATTCTAGGTAGTAACTATAACAATAATATCAACCGGCACAGTCAGGAGCATCACGATGCTATGCTGCTGTCGTCAACGGTGGTGCGGCTGAAGGATAGGGCCGAAGGGCAGGAGGCTAGGGGACTAGGAGAGCAAACTGTTGCTCCTGGGAAAGGGAAAGAGTGTGAAGTGAGTTTGCAAGTGAAGCCGCACCACTATGAAACGAATTCGAAATCCCTGGAGGATATCTTATGACGACACGCAGCGCTGGTCCTGTGGCCAGTGCTGAGACGCGAGCAAATATTGAAGCTCGAAGAGATGGAATCAAAGCAACAGCCTTCGGCGACATCGACCATATCAAATAATGAATCTCGTACGATGAGGTCAGCCGAGACACAAACCGAACTGCTCGAATGCAGCGGTGACGAGGGAGCCAGCAGCGAGGATGTTGTAAGTGTGAATGATGACGAGCTCGAAGTGATCTCAACGCGTCCTCTTCCGAATGAGGAAGCATCAAAGCATGGAACGAGCGAACAAGATTACGACGACGACGATGACGACGAGGATGATTATGACGAGGAAATCCTTGGGGAGAATGCTAAGCTGAAGACGATCAAACGGTTGAACTGTACCAATTTGTTCAACTTCAACAAGCTGGAACTGTTGAACGAACGCTGCTCGGTGGTGGGCACCGGTCAGCAGCAAATCAGCGATAGCAGTCGGAATCTGTGCGAGCATGAAATGCACGTGGCCATCGACGAAGACCTGGGGCAGGCCGCGGCAGCAGGAGAGGGAAAACGGACTAGGGAGGAGTCGGCGGCTGGTTCCAGCAGCAGTGCGGTCATCTTCATCCAGGAGAGTCCGGAAGTGATATTATAGCAGTGGCATTTCTCTTTTTATTTTAGAGTCGTTATTTATTTTTAGAACTACGTATAGAAAGAGAAATATTATTGTTAGTGAGACTTAATTTCTTTCTTCCTGTATGCGTGTGGGCGCGAGCGAGTGAGCAAGTGAGCGAGCATGTCTAAGCTTAATTGTGCAGAGGTGATCTATTTTTGTACCAAAAAAAAAAGCATAACAGCTACAAAGAATGGAAAAGTTTAGATTTTTCCTAGAAGACCTATTTAAAATGACAATTTAAAATTGATCTAAAATTTGTAGGCAAAAGCAAACAACTATAAAACAAATGCGCTTCGAGTAAGGAGCAACACTCCTACAAAACACGAACCCAATAACGGTGTTGGTTTCCCCTTTGTCATCCTGCGGGCTGGGTTGTCCTCCAACGATCCACTTTGAAATCCACTATTCCCTTTCTCATCCCGGAATACTATTCCACTCTATTCGTTTATGCCTTAGTAATGATTCAACAACATCACTCTGAATATTTTGTGGGGTCAAATTCTATCTAGGTTAACTAAGCAAACCAAAATCGTACCAAGCAAACTAATCTATAATTTCATTACAAAAGACTTAATGCCTGAAAGAAAAGAAGAACGAAGCCTTTATATCTACGCGTTCTGATTAACGTGAAAATCGGAAATTTGTATGTTTTCTTTAGGACATGAAACAAAAAACTATCATTGCATTACATTCAATTGTGTGAGAATTACGCTCGGTTCAAGTCTAGTCTGGAACAAACCGTAAATCGTTAATCGATGACGCTGGAACAATGAAAGTATAGTTTTTGTAAGTGAGGGAAATTTTGCTGTGAAAATGTGTTACAATAAACAATTATACATAATAGACATATGTAATTCTAAAGGCTAGGTGCTGCTGCTTTGGAGTGATTTGCTTTCTTGGTTCGAGTGTGTATGAGTATGACTGCAGAATGGGAGGTTTGATATCGACCAACAAGGAAATAATCGGTAAAAATCATTGATACTGAAATAGTATTGTTCCAGCAAGTTCTTTGCCTTTGTTATATTGATTTACATGATGTTTCAGTCAGAACTAAGTTTTTGTAGTTTCCATGGGTTGTATGAATTTTGTATGATGTTTGGTATTCATTTCATGAAAATACCTACATCATCCTGATGAATATGGACGTCTCAGTGGAATACCTGTATAAAGAGAGCGAAAAAAAGAATAAGTTATTTGTATTTAATCTAACATTTGTCTAACATTTTTTTTTATATATCTTTATTAAGGAGACTTTTAGCCGTTGGCTGGCTCGTCTCCGAATTTTTGTCTAACATGTGCAGAGTTCTTCAGTGTCTTGTAGTGTCGGAGTCGAGTATTAGTAGAAGACACTGAAAACATCTGCACATTATAGGCGAAATACGCGTATCTGTCAATGAGGTAGCAAATAAGGTAGTGAAATTAAATAGAAATTACTAATCCCCTTCTTTCTCTCTTTATGCCAACATCACTTTGAATTTATAAGGTTGTAGTATGTGACCTTGTGAAGGCTATATGTGAAATGTCACATGGAATATACATGGCATTTTTGCTTGAGTGTGTAGCTTATTGTAGACGATGAGGGTGTAACCTCAGATAGCCTAGTCAGTTAAGGCACCGTTTTACCAAGTCGGGTGCGGTGAATTCGATTCCCAGTCCGGTCTTGAAAAACTTTCGTGTTGGGATTTGGAAGTCAAAACTATTCCCAAATCCCAATATAAAAATAATATAGAAAATAATGCAATGGTTGGCATAGAAAGCTTTTAATTCTTTCTTCGGAAGTCGAGAGCCGGCAAAACGATAGCATAAGATGCGTCAAATTTTTTTAGGCCTTCCGTGGCTCATTTGATGTCTGGACATTTTTTCAGAATCAATTAGGCTGGTTCAATGATTAATAATCCATTACTGCGTTGAATATCATAACGATTCGCTCAGGTTTTTTTTTCTCCAGTGTTACACAGTAGGTTAATCAAATTTGTTTTTGCGAGACTATGGCTATTAACTGAGCGTTTAAATACAACTATTTCCAAGCAATTTCCAAGGCAAAGAGCTTGATCAACTGAAACAAGGCTTAGGCATTTAAACCACTGCAAAGCGTTACTGAAACATATTCAAGATGCATTTAAAAAATCATTTAATTTTGCGACCGTACCGTGTATCAAGAAAATATTTACTTCCCAGGTCAATTCACTTTCCCTCCTCTCCAAAATCAAGCTTTGCACTTCACCCAACAGCGAACAAACTGTCGAACAAACCGTCTCTGCGTTACTTGAATGATTTTAATTTTTGCCTGAAACGATGCGTACTATATGACAACAATCTTCCGAAAACCAATCGCCAATGAAGCACCTTGCATGCGTACATGCAATTTCCTTACATATTCTAATAAACGATCAATGCACTTACTATATAAGATATAAGAAATGCAAGCAACCGAACAAACACACAGAAATCCTGCAAATGTAATAGTAAAAGTCGAGAATTATCATCAACCTGTACTAAACAATGATTAATCAGACATTTGTTTCAAAACTATGAAAGCGAAAGACACACGTACGAACTAATAGGCCTATAATAGCAATACCAACAAAAAAAAAAAGACGTGTATCAAATTCAGAAAATAAAAACCATTTAGATTGGCGAACACACTAATACCTATTTAGAAGCACAGCGTTAATAATAAGAAAAGACAGAACAAGTTGCGTGTGTAAAGTGCCATTTTCTCGGTTGAATTCTGTGTAGCCTTTGCAAAAGACGTTACTTCTTTTTAACTTTCCGGGCTTCTCTTCCGGAAGAGCAGCCTGTGTTATCTATTTTTCTAGCGACCAGCGTTCTTTTCCCTGAATATTATCGGTAGGATCAATTACATTTTACAATGAACAAAATAAGAATACAATCAGAAGACTCGTCTTGGTTCCAGTGAGTTGAAACAATAGAAAGTCAATTTTATTTTACAATTCCTTCGATTTTACGATGTTTAGGAATCGAGTCTGGTAGATACTAGTAGCGCCGGAGAGAGTGAGAGTCAGCAAGTTCTCCGGCAGAGTTTCAAATGAAATAAATATATTTATATTTTAGGAAAGAATTTAACACTATGGGCCGTATGAATAAAGAGAGTAAAGTAAACTCTCCCGTGCTTTTCTTACGGGGAAAGTGAAGTAAACTCTTTTATGCATACGGCCCAATAACAAGGACGAGGACTTAGTAGGAATGACAGCAATGTACCACGCGCCACACTATATAGACAAATTACCGTATCCCAACTAAGTGGATGAAACCAAAATTAAAGAAAACAAAATGAGCATACCTAAGTTTGTCAACGCGTTTCTGTTTGATATGATGACAATGCATGTTTTGTAAACCGGATTGGATCGGATTTCTTTTTTAAGGAGACTTTCAGCCATTTGTGTCACCCTGCGTTCGACTCGTGGATTCTGGCGCAAAGTCTGCAGCTGTTCCAGCTGTTTCATATTACTAGCATGATTCAGTTTTCTGGGTCCTTTACTGAGACCTCTCGGGTGTAGAGACATCAGAGACGTACACCCCTATTCTGTATTTCGTTTCGAACGAAATTCTCATACAAAAAAATATTTTTTTGTATGAGAATTTCGTTCGAAACGAAATACAGAATAGGGGTGGTAATGAGGTTTTGCTGCATCCTTGGCAAACCATGGAAATGACGTTCCTTTCCTAATTTATTTTTTATTTGATTCTCAATATTTCTTTACGGCTAAGATTTTAAATTTTAGCTTAGCTCGGGAAAGATATCCATTTTTATCTAATTCTGATTCCATAATTGGAGTTCACACAGGAATATAACCGAAAGGAAACCCTTTCTTCTCTGACATCCTCGAAGAAAAACAAAGCCAGCGGATTGCCCATGTGAATTCGTTGGAATCAAGCGAAAACAACTGGCAGTAGAGACACTGACCACGGATGGACAAGCGGGATCCAGGCAAGAAAAGCCGATCCTTAAAAAAGTAGCGTTGATCAGAATGGTAAATTATTGAAATAAATATAATCGTGGAACAAACATTATCAAACCAACCAAATTCCTGCATGATTTAATAGATGGCTGCAAATCGTATCCGAATACAATCCTACCAGATTAAACCAGCAGCCAGCATCGGGGCCTCCCTTAGCTTAGTCGGTAAAGGCGCAGCTACAAAGCAAGACCATGCTGGAGGCGGCTGGGTTCGAATCCCGGTCCGGTCTAGGAATTTTTCGGGTTGGAAAATTTCTCGACCTCTCTAGGCTTTTAGAGTATAATTGTACTTGCCACACAATTATACCAATGCAAAATGGTACCTGACATCGAAAGCTCTCAATTAATAACTGTGGAAGTGCATCTAGAACACTAATAGCGAATTCGTTTATTATCGGGGTTGGAACCAGTTCCAACCCAGTGCGAAACCGAACTTTTTGTCAGTGCGAACCTCAACCTGAGCTAGGTTTTAAAAACAAACGAGCAAACTGACGTTTGTCAGAAAACAAGCAGACCCAATCCTGATACCCGATCCAGGTTGGAACTGAATAATAAACAAATTCGCTATAAGTTGAGAGCACGCAATAAGCTTAATATGCGATAAGCAATAAGCTTGAAATGCGAAAAATAAGAAGAAGAAGAAGCATCGGGTGCCTACCATTGGAATACATTTTACAAGGGGCTCTTCTAATTTTTCTTTAATTTGGTTGGTCACGTCTCCATATCATCATGAATCGATGTGGTATGGCTGTTAACATAACCATGTTCATAACCTTAGCATGTTTTTTTTTCAATTTAATTTGAAAACTAGTAATTATTTGAAGATGCTAATTTCAAATAACAGACTGTAGTGGTAATTTTTATACGATAGATGGAGTAGATGAAAGCATAGAGTTGATAGTTCCGTTAGAGTACGGCAGTGTGAAGATTGTATATAGATATTAGAATAGCAAGCTAGGACAACTTTTAAGGAAGGTACAAATCGGTTTTTTCATCTCTCTTTACCAAACTCCCCCTTTGGAGAAGGATGGTGAGGGGTGTCCCCCCCCGCCACCACTGGCAAAAAGAGATGAAAACCAA